TCTATTTTCCCAAATAGTTTATATAATATTAGAATTAAATATTCTTTAAATGTTTGATAGAATTCACTTGTAAATCCATCTGACCCTAAAGATTATTTCATAGGGAGCTCATTGATGACTTGTTCAGTTTCATTTTCTGAAATGAGGTTATTTAAGTATTATATTTCTTGTTCTGTTAATCTGGGCAATTTATATTTGTTATAAACATCCATCCATTTCACTAAGATTGTTAAATTTATTGGCATACAATTGGGCAAAATAGCTCCTATTGTCTTGATTTCCTCTTCATTGATGGTTAATTCCCCCTTTTTAATTTTTGATGTTTGGTTTTCTTCTTTCATTTTTTAAAATCAAATTAACCCAAGGTTTATCTATTTTTTTTTCATAAAACCAGCTCTTAGTTTTATTCAGTAGTTCAACAGTTTTCTTAATTTCAATTTTATCATTCTCTCCTTTGTTTTTCAGAATTTCTAATTCAGTATTTAATTGGGGATTTTTAATTTATTCTTTTTCTAGTTTTTGTTAGTTACATGCCCAAATCATTGATCTCATCTTTCTCTATTTTATTCATGTAAGCATTTAGAAATATAAAACTTAGTCTAAGAACTACTTTCACTGCACAAGTTTTGTATGTTTTGGTATGTTGACTCATTATTGTTATTCTTTTGGATGAAGTCATTGATTATTTCTATGATTTGTGGTTTGACTCACTCATTCTTTTTTTTTAAATTAATATTTTTAATTCAATTCTCTTTTTTTCAATGAACAAAACTCTAGTTTCTTTCCCATGTACTCCTCCTCCTTTCTAAGTTATCATTGACATTTGTGGATTGTGATGTCTGGAAACCACCACAGCTGCCTGTGATTCAGACTCCTGACAGTTTCCTCTGTCTCTGCCTGAGTGGCCCAAGCTGAACTGAGCTCCTTCAGACCTTTCTTATCAACAATCCCAGGTTGTCTTGGACTGGAAATTTGTTTCAGTCATGTCTTTTTGTGAGTTCTCCTTCTCCAGAATTTGTTTAGAGTCATTTTTACATATATTTGAAGGGGTTTGCAGGAGAGGTCAAGAAGTCATTGTTTTTACACAGTCCAATCTCCTCATTCTTTAAGATTAGATTAGGATTAGTTTCTAATTAATTTTAGCCTATCTTTCCATGGCCCTTTATTACATATAATTTTTATTGCATCATGATCTGAAAATAATGCATTTAATATTTCTGCTTTCCTGCATTTGATTGTGAGGTTTTTATGCCCTAATGCATGATCAGTTTTAGTGTAGGTAAAATTTTGAAAGAAGCAAATTATGTCTTTGCTTGCTCTCTTACCTTCCATACATCCTCTCTGTCCTCACATAACATATACTCTATGATCCTTGGAATAGGATCTAGGTATCCGTGCTAAGGTGTTCACTGATAACCATACTATCTAGAATTGGATTTCAGTGTTTATAGCTGCTAAGTACCTACTGGACCTAATCTAAACTCATCATATTACAGATGAGAAAACTGAGGCTTAAGAAGTTAATTGACTTGTCCAAGGAGACATAGGTCTTCTAATTCCATACACAGTGCTATTATTATACCATTTTACTTCCATCAGGAGTGACTTTTCTTAGGGTAATTAATTTTAATAAGTGATTAAAAACTGTATGTGATCTAAAATAAAGATATAATGGTGGAATGGAGGCATGGGTGATGTATAAATGATGTGTTGGAACCAAGCCCAGACCCCCTCAAATAACTTGATGTCTGCCTATCCTACTTATTGAAGAAGTAAGTAAGGGAGTGTAGCTGCCCAACAGCAGCCTAAGAAGCCTGAGGCCAGGAATTACAATGGCTTTGGCTAAAAGACTTAATAAATTCTAGCAATGATAGGCACATAAAATAAGTTAAATGAGTTCATATCATGCAGATGCCCTGGGCATAGACTGGTTGGAAGGCTTAGTATCTTGCAGTACTAATTTAGAACTATCAATATGCTTATAAATCTTGTGGTGATAGATAAGTCAGATGCCAGATCTCTGGTGGGGCATGAAAGACTGGCCTCTCTGGATAACACAGTTCCTGGTATCTAGAGCCAGAAGCTGATGAAGATCTAAGGATAACCCTTAATGCCCTTGCTGTCACCATTTATTTATCCATCCATCTATCTTCAGTCTCTCTAACTGGGAAATGGAAGGTTCCTTCTATTTTTGTCCTGTTTGCACGATTGCCAAAATAGGTCCACTTCTCCAAACAGGCTTCAGATGTCTACAACCCTGGAGGACACCGTGACTTTTGCAACTTAACTGTCTTAGAGAAGTCATCTGGGGCACAGAGAAGTTAAATGGCTGGCCCAGGAACATATAACCTCTATGTAATAAGAGGCAGGTTTTAAACCTAGATCTTCCTGACTTCAGGGTCCCCTCTTCACCCATTGTCAGGCTCCCTTTCTGAAGCAGATATCCTTATTCACATTTTACAGGTGGTGAAACTCTTCCTTTTCAATGGTCATACAACTTAGGTCTTCTGATTCTTCTGCAAGAGGACCACAAATCTATTTACAAACCATAATCAACATATTATACTTACTGTTTCCATCTTTGTTAAAATATTCATAACATTTACCCATCCTGTTTAATTTTTCTAACTCCTGGTCAACAGTTTATAGTTTTATGAGATCCCGTTTGTTAGCAGAACAGTCATTCCATTGCTCATCACCCTTCATACATCTTTTCCCATGATAAATATCTCTAAAGTTCTGACCTTGTACAGAGTTTCTCATTTGCCATGTGGTCCTACCAACAGGTTTGCACATTATTCTTTCCATTGTTAGCTTCTGCTCTTTGTGTTTGATTTGGGGCCAGAATGCTGATTGCTATAGGCAGCTATGTTTTAGAGTAAAATATTTCTACTTTGATCTTTATGGGCATCTCTTCTTTGATCAGCATAATATAGATGCATTTGAAATTAATCCAGAAAAACTTTATGATTTCCTGTGCATTCTAAATTGATAGTGGATGAAGAAAAGCGGTGAGATCTTGTTTTAAAAAAGAGCTCATAGGGGCAACTAGGTGGTGCAGCAGATAGAGCACCAGCCTTGAAGTCAGGAGGACCTGAGTTCAAATCCTGCCTCAGACCAAATACTTGACACTTACTTGCTGTGTGACCCTGGGCAAGTCATTTAACCCCAATTGCAAAAAATAAAAAAAAAGAGCTCATAAAGATTATGATAACTCCATTACAATGAAAACTTCAGCAATGGTTAAGATTGCTCAACTTAAAGAAGTTTACCCTTCAGAGAAAGATAAATCAGAGAGGCCATGAAATATGTTGGCAAGGAGCATGGTTGAAAGCAATGATGTTAGGGAAGTCATTTGACCTTCCTAGGCCTCAGTTTCCTCAGCTGCAAAAATAAAGAGATTGGACTCAAATGTTATTTCCAGCTCAATAAGCTAATGAGCTGTATATAAAAGAAGGAATTATTAAAAGAGAACCTCATGCATCCATACACACATACTAGTTAACCTAAGCTAAAAAGATCCTTTCTGGAAAAAAAAAATTAAGGTCCTAGACTTTAAAAATTATCAGCTGACTATGAACTTATAGAGGAAAAAATAAACCTAATTTTTGAGCAGAGTTGATCACTTATAGAAACACAGATTTAGATCTGGAAAGACCCATGGAGACCATGGTTGTCAACTAGTCTAACACTCTCATTTTGCAAGTGAGGAAATTGAGGCCCTGGGAGGTTGAATGATTTGCCTAAAGTCATTCAAATAGGAAGTAGCAGAACTGGGGTCTCTACTCAAATATAGCCCACTTTATACTTCCTCAGCTGCCTGTTTGGAATTTTATTTTCAAAGAAAATAAATATTTTTTTTATAATTAATTATTTTTATTTTTTTATAATTAATTTTTTTATAATTGATTAATTAATTTTTAGTTTTCAACGTTCACTTCCATAAGATTATAAGTTTTAAATTTTCTTCCACTTCTACTTATTCCTCCCACCCCAAGACGGTGTACAATCTGCTATAGGCTGTACATTTATATTCATGTTAAGCATATTTTCCTATTAGTCATGATGTACGTCCCTCTCTTTAAATGCGTATACAATACATACAGAAAGACAGACATAAAGACAGACACTGATGGAAACAACCTAAGCTAAGGCAAATTTGAGAAAGCCCCATCCGTAGTTTACCCCTAGGGCAAAACATAATTCCAGGGGCTCACTGGAATGAAGGAAGGCACGAGACTCTCTCTTCTGCATAAAGTTTTCTGCAAATTCCATCCTTCAATACTATCCTTTCTCAAAGCAGTAAAGCATATCAGTGGCACGGGAGATGGAAATAACGAGACCCTAGATTGCGTGGGTGTCAAATAAATCCAAGAGCAGACGACAAGCGGATTGCTTCATCAACACAAGCCCTGCTTCCAGAGTGGAAAAGCGAGAAGATAACTAGTTCGAGTCAAGGATTCCATTGGCTCTCAGTGGTTCCATTGGATCTCGGTGGTTCCGGCTCCCTCCTGCTCCTGCTACGTATTCTTCTTAGCCGAGGATCAAGGGAAGAGAGAGGAGGAGGAGGAGGAAGAGGGAGAAGGAGGAGGATAAAGAAAAAAGGAGGAGAAGGAAGGGGAGGTAGGACGAAGGGGAGCAGTAGCGAGGGGAATAAGCAGGTGAAGGGAAGCACAGGGAGACTAGGGGGTGAGGGGTGGGGGTGGATGGGGGAGGCAGCGCGCCAGGCAGAAGGAGCTGAGTGGACGGCTCCAGACAAGCAGTGCATGCAGCAGCCCCTGAAAGAGACAGAGTTGGCAGCGTCGAGCTGCATTTCCAGCAGGAGCTGAGCGTATAGTACAGCAAGGTGATGTGCTAGACAGCTCTTCACGCTGGGGCTGCTGCTGCTGCAATCCAGGCTGCCTTCCCCTCTCCACTACTCACTCACTCTCTCTCTCTCTCTCTCTCTCTCTCTCTCTCTCTCTCTCTCTCGACTGCCAAACATCACTATTCGCTCCCTCCCGCGTCCCTCCCCTCAGTTTCTCAGCGCATCTCTCCGAGTCGTCCTCCCATATTTTTACCTCCTGTTTATCATTGATATTTTATTTTATTTTATTTTATTTTATTTTATTTTATTTTATTTTATTTTATTTGTCTCCTCTCTCTCCTCCCGTCCCCCCTGTGCCTCTCCCCCCAAGATGTTAAAGCTATCAGCCCTATTGTGTATGTGTGCAGTCGTCTTGTGCAGTGAGGCTCTAGCGGCAGCGGCAGCGGCAGCAGCCGCTGCCGCAGCAGCTGCTGTGGCCAGGTCGGACAGCGGTAATTTTCTGGATGATAAACAATGGCTCACCACGATCTCCCAATATGACAACGAAGTCGGACAGTGGAACAAATTCCGAGACGTAAGTGCTGCGTGCTCCTGTCCCCACCCTCCCTGCGCGCGGCGCGCGCATACATACACACACACACACACACACACACACACACACACACACACCACCTCCTCCTTGGGGGAGGGGGAGGAGAAAGGGAGAGGAAGAGAGAGTGGGTTCAGTTCCTCGGGGGTGGGGATTTCGGTGTCAGAGAGATGAGGGAGTGGAGAGGCAGGAATAGAAGTTCTCAGTTGAGATGCTTTTCTCCTTTTGGCTGGCGCAACACAGAGTTAAGTGCCCGCGAGGTTTTACTGATTGGGTGCCCAAGAGTTAGGTTTCCAGTCTTCCATCTTTCCATCCTCTCCTTTCACCTCCAAATCTTCCCCTCCCCAGTATGTCGGAATCAATGGCTTGTAAACCACAGCGATCCAGGCTTTAAATTCTCAACTTTTCCAGTGATGTTTCTGGAGCTCGTGTAAACACAGCAGATGTGCATTTTCGCCATGCATGCCTACTAAGTAAGATCGATCCAGTTACTAATGGGCCATTAAGGAATTTAAGGAAGGAGGGAGGAAGATGTTAGATTTATAAATGTGGGCTGGCAGAGAGGTGATGGGAGGTGGTGTGTCAGAACCTGTTAAGCAGTAGTTGAATCGCTCCTGGACGATTACGTAAAACTGCTGATCAGTTTAGTTTTCTGCGTCGACATTAAGTTTAATCCAGAGCATGTTCCCTATACACCTTCTTAGGTTGTAGTCCAAAGTGCACCATGAATTGCCTAGTGGTGGATCTGATGGCTAATTGTTGGCCAGACTGTGATGGCGCAGCAGGGATTATATTGGAGAATTCTGCTACCGGAATGGGTTTTTACTCGATGGATGAGAAGGATTGTTCAGAGATTCCACTCTTTTATACTTTAGAACCCTGTTAGTCGCACTCCTTGCTTGTCATTTTCTCCGTCAGATTTGAGAGGAGTCAGGTTATAGCTGCTCACTTTGGTTTCCAGGGCTAAAGGTGTCAGGTATGTGTTAATTCAGAGACGTTCTAATACGTTTCCTAGACGGCAAAGACAAGCTGGTTGCTTATCCTTGTCATCCTAAGGAGTGGAGGGAACCACACTACTAAGATTCCCCTGTGCCCTCTTTCCCTCTCCAAACAAATTTATGAGATTAAAAAGCAGTAGCAACAACAACAACAACAACAAAAACAAGCAAACAAACAAAAAACACCGTGAAGGAATTTGGATACGCTGTGCATGTACAGTGCCAGCACTGAAGGCAGATAGATGACTCACTGCCCCCCAGCCTCATCATTTCAAGTATTAGCAAGATTGTCTTGACCAATTCTGTCATATGTAAAAATGTATTCTTTCCTTTCACCACCCTTGCATCACCAGAGGAAAGAATAAATAAAAATCAAGAAAGCATTGATTAACTCTCAAACATGAAGAATGCCCTGATGGGTAAATTGCTGCAGCCAAGTCCATTTCTGATTGAGTTTAGGGATGTTAGGGATGGGAGAACTTTATGAAGCAGTACTGCATTTCACTTTGTTAGCAATCCTTGGAAAATTAGAAGTCCAAAGTAACAGCAAGAGGATATTCTTAAATCTAGGCCTTTTCCTTAAATGTTTTTATGGGTCATGTCTTCAAAATTCATAGTAGAACTTGAAAGAGATTGTGTTATGAATTCAGATATCATTGTTAATATTAGTTGTCCTTTAATAGTAAATACAGGTGAAAAAGCAATACTGGCAAGATTTCTCAAAGTGAGAAAGAACTCTTTGTTTATCTTGTCATTTCTAAAGGAAAGTGAAGATTTTGTCAGAAATCTAGAATTGATTCATCTTAGGATACTTCATTTCTCACCTGCTTTTAAAAGTCCTTTTGAAATGACTGCAGACTTTCTTTTTGAAAATATGCTGTTACAAATCTGAGTGTTTCCATCTTTATGCAAATCAAGTTGTTTAAATAAAGGTCATGAAGATTCAGGAATGCATGCTTTACTGTATTTACAGAGCATGATCCAAGATGCAAACATGAGTCCTTTCTGAGAGCAGGACCTATCTACTTTGTTCATCTTATCATTGTATTTTTTTTCCATCTGTGATTGAAAATTGACTGGTTTAGAACTTTAAACAGCAACAAGCTTTTATTTACACAGTTTGTTGCTAACACCCTTTGCACAAGCTAAGGACCTAGTAAATGCTCTCAGATTTATAGTATTAAGACTCATTAGCTTGATTTACAAGATAATGATTAATGAAAAGTATTATTCTAGATAATTAGTAATATATAAAGTGTTGTAAAAGCAGACTACATTGAAGTTGTTAAATAGATAGCTCTTAAATGTAGAAAAATATAAAATATTTTATGGCTACTGTAATATTATGTATTCTACCTTTGAGGTCTCCAGAGAAAAAATATTTCTGAACCCTAGTCCTATATTTGTTAACTTCTTAAGATGAAAGATTTAATGTGATCTACTGTAAGTTAATATATATTTTTAGATGTGGGCAGCCAATTTAAAGTAGTACCATTTTAATAAATACAGTTAAGGATGATTTTTAAAACTTAAAAGAATGGATTTTGATCACTAACTTTTCAAGTAGATGAGTACATTCTTATAAAGATAATGTTTTTTAAAAGCATTGCAGAGATTAATATTTCCTTTATGTCTGTTGACCACCTGTTGATATATTATGGTGGCTATTAATAAGACAAAATGTTTTCTTATCATAAGTATTGACAAGGTTTTTTCCAAGGTTCAGAATAAATATTCTACACACAAAAAGTTTATTTTGGCTATTTCTACAGTGATTAATTTATATTTTTCCTTGCTGTGTGATCAATTTTTTGTTTATTGATGTTTCTATGATTTTGAATATTGTAAGATTTTTAATCAATTTTTGTTACAGGTCTGTGGTGATGATGCATCTATAGGAATGAACATTAATTGCATGAAAACATTTTTTAGAAAAATTCTGCATCAGTATTTGTATTCAAAATTGATTTATAAATTTTTATTAATAGCTAGTCATAAATTTCAAGCTATTTTGAGTCTCTTTACTTAATTAAATTTCCTTATATAAAGAAAAGTTTCCTTTATCATATGATTTCCCCTCTCATGTTTTCTTGTAGTTTGATCTTCTGCTAATCCTCTACAAAATAAGTACATTTTCAAAGTATATTATATTTTCAATATGTTCTTTTCATTTTTATTTGATATATTATTTAATCCCAACTCCCCTTTAACAGTCCCCTGACATATAATCTATGTTAAATTCTTAAGTTTGAGGGGTGTAGAAAGGAAGTTTATATAACTTGAAGACTCAATTAGAAAAGGCAAGATGGATTAATAGATAAGCTAATGACACTAATGTGGATGATTGATTCAGCTTTCTCTAGTCTTAGATCACAGTGAAAGAAATGAAAACCAAAACAAGTTAAGAAATAGCAATGAAAGGGAAGACTCTTCAAATAATTGTGACCTCTCCTTTATGCTGGCTTTAGACACAGAGGAGAGTTCTATTGCATTGATCTTTTTTTTCCCTTTCCACAATGTTAACCCGGAATGTACTATCTTATAGAATCTTTATGCTGTCATAAATCTCAGAATGATGTTCTTTGCTGCTAGTATCTCTGATCATCTTTCAGTCGAAGTCGAAATATATACAGTTTAGTAGGAGAAAAAAAAACTGAACCAATGGAAAGTTGATCGTGTTTTTGATTAAATACAGTGGAGGATATTTCCAGGTAATAATAAATGATGAGATAGCAAAAACTCTATATACTACGATATGATATAGTATAATATAACATTGGAGGAGAGAAATTATGAAACATAGAAATACCTTATGCAAATTTTCAAGTGATTATGTACTTTGGAAATTATATAATTCAAAGTATAGTAGTTTCTTGCATGTACCTTTCATGCTTGAAGATTTCACTATTTCTATCCTGCTTCTTCTTCTCCTGGGTATAATTCGAAAATGTTAAACACTGGAAAAACAAACTCTCAGCCATCTTACATGGGTGTGGAAGTAAATCCTCCCCCCCCCACTAGTTCTTAGAACTATCCTCATTCAGCAGGAACAGCCCTTGAACCATTTACTCTAGAAGATCTATACAATATTGAGACTTGCAGTTTCAGAAGAGAAAATTGTAGACTTTGTGAAAAAGATGGATTATTAGCTCACATTTGTGAACATGACACTAAGATTTTCACTGTAATATTTTTTTTTCTACTGTTATAATAAGCTAGTGAGATTTTGCTTGCCATTGGGTAAAATCAGTGGGATTAATTCACTCTTGGGTATGACATTATAACTTTTATATTTTAGTTCTGTTATAGCAGATGTAATATTAAAGAGTGACAGGAAAGAAAGAAATACTCAAATGCATGTTGAAGTAGTATTTTAAATATATAACAATCAACTGGTGGATCACAATTTCAACTTTACATGACTTCTGTCTCCAAATCATTTTTAGTCTCTCCCCCCAAGAAGAATTCTGAGTTCAGTTTTGATTTTTAAAATATTCAAAATCTGTTAAAAGTTTATATTGGAGTTAAGAGATTGACTAAAATACCATAATTTAATTAACATTTTTCTTTAAAAATCTGGCATTTATGTATACTCCAAGATAAATTTAAACAAATATTAAGTCTTAAAATTTATCTTTAAAAATAACTTTTGGTTTTTCTAAACAGCACATAAGATGTGAAGGCTTAATACATTCACTGAAAGTTTCCAAATGTCTTAAGTTATTTGTATTTTTTAAAAATAGGAATTTTTGGGAAATTGAACAAACTTCAACTTTTTTATGGTGTTTTAGCACAAGGATTATTTAAGACATAATGGTTCGATGATGAGGAAGATTTCCTTTAAGTTAAAGAAGAGAGGAATTGAGGCTCTAGGAAGAGGCCATCAACCTTTACTACCATTATAAAGCAAATAAACTATTTTGTTTCTAGGCATTTCTGTTCTTCATTCTGCATCCAATTGCTTTATAATGCATTACAAATGCAAAT